GCTATAACAGGTTTGGACCTTTCTGCAGGAGAGGAACTAGATCTGCTTGTACGTTACCTCGGTAAGAACTCATCGAGACAAGTCAAACAAATGAAAGCTGTCAACATTAGATGTCCTGAAGCTGGTTTAGCCATGGCTTGGGACATGCTCGAAGAAGTCTATGGCTCTCCAGAAGCTGTAGAACAAGCACTCTTTCAAAAGGTAGAGAGCTTCCCCAAAATCACCCCCAGAGAGCCTTTCAAACTCCGAGACTTAGCTGACCTAATGTTGGAGCTTGAAGCAGCTAAGCTTGATGGATATTTACCAGGCTTGTCTTACTTGGACACATCCAGGGGAATTCAACCAATAGTTGACAAGTTACCTTACAATCTGCAAGAGAAATGGATGACATACGGCTCAAAGTATAAACGTGATCACGGCATCAGTTTTCCGCCTTTCACTGTGTTTGCTAACTTCATTCGCACTGAGGCCAAAACGCGAACTGACCCAAGCTTCACCTTCCACAGCTCAAACCAGTTACCTGAGAGAAAACAAATGCCAGAAAGGTTTTCTAAATTGCCCATATCTGTCCACAAAACTCAAGTACAAGACAAAACAGAAAATAAGGAAAAAATCACAAGTACAGTAAACCCCAACAAACAGTGTCCAATACACAACAAACCCCACCCGTTAAAACGCTGCAGAGGATTCAGAGAGAAACCTTTGGAAGAACGAAAACAGATAATCAAAAGGTTTAACATCTGTTTCCGCTGCTGCTCATCTACAGATCATTTCGCCAAGAACTGTACAACAGACATCACTTGCACGGAGTGTGACAGCAATAATCACATTTCTGCCCTCCATCCAGGTCCAGCACCACAGGAATCTAAAACGCCGCCTCCCCCACAGCACGGTGGGGAGAACAGCAAAGCGGATGTCCAAGAAGTCACCTCTCGGTGTACTGAGGTGTGCGGAGAAGGGGTGAGCGCCAGAGAATGTTCCAAAATCATACTCGTCAATGTGTATCCTGCTGGCCACAAAGAACAAACAAAGAGAATGTATGCAATCTTGGACGAACAGAGCAACCGTTCCCTTGCACGTTCACAGTTCTTCGAGTTGTTTCGGATCCAAGGAGCAAGTTATCCCTACACATTGAAGACGTGTGCAGGGCTCACAGGAGTTTCAGGAAGAAGAGCTGGTGGCTTCATAGTGGAGTCAATAAATGAAC